CAGCCTCGGGGAGGAACGCCACGTCGCAAACGAGGCGGGCGTCCTGAAAGACCTGGATGTGGCGATCCAGGCCGGCAGCGCCACCAGAGCCGGACCAGAATGTGGTGACGACACGCTCGAAGGCGTCAGTCACGTCGTATCGGGCTCCGAAGCGATCCTCGAGGAACGCCTGGAAATCCACGAAGGTCGGAGTCCGACCCTCACGAAGGGAGTAGGCATAGAAATCCTCCCAGGCCTCGAAAAGGACCGCCACGCAGGCGCGTGGAGAGGTGACCCACCCACGTCTCGGGTGCGGCATTCATGAGCTGGAGTGTGCGGGTGGCAAACTGCAGCCACCGAGACACGCATATGCCTGTACCGTCATACAAGGCAATGTCYGACAAGCGGATGAGTGGTGCGCCACCGTTTTGGCGGCGAGGGGATCGAGGAGCGGAGGCCTGTGCCACGGCTGAGTAAGTCGGCGCAGGTCCTGGAGAAAGGGGCGCAACCGACTGTGCGCCCGGGCCGCATGGGGGAGCGGCGGTGGTAACAGCGGCAGACTGCGAGGGTGCTGTGGTAGAAGAGGTCGCAGCAACCGCGGGAGCAGGAAGAAGGTAGGAAGGAGTTGTATAGGGTGCAGGGCGCGGAAAGCGAGCCTGCATGGAAGGAAGGGTAGAGGAGGTAGGGGGTGCGCCCGAAGGCGCGGCCACCTGTGAGGGTGGGGGTGGCTGAAGTCGTAAGAGGGCGAGGTCGGCCCGGAGCTGGGCAATCTCGTCCGCGAGACCTCGAACGTAGGTCGATCGAGGGGTGGCAGGAGGAAGAGTGGAGGGGGTGGACGCACAAGCGGCGCGGGGCATCCCAGAGGGGGGAGAGCCAGGTGGCGCTGCGGTCGTGCGAAGGGGAGGGAGAAGCGGGGCACCCGGAAAAGCTGAGACCATGGTAGCGGGTTGTTGTACCGTGGTCGTAGTGACCGGGACCTGGGCGGGTGCGCCCGTAGACTGAGGGGGGGCCTGGCTCATGGCGGCCGTCGTGTTAGGGGCGTGGACAGTCACCAAGATGGCCGGGTCAGGGGCAACGAAGGAGGAAGCTCCTCCGTGGCCACCCTGTCGGAAGACGGGGGACCCGGACTGGGAGCCAGGAGATGACGGACACGCAGCGTTCAGGAGTTGCTACATGCCGGCGACAAGGGTCGCCACCTGCGCCTGTAAGGGCGCGAGGGTCGCGAGTTGCGCCTGGATGGGCGCAAGGGTCGCGAGTTGCGCCTGGATGGGCGCAAGGAGGGAGGTGAGGAGGGTGTGTAGATCCCCCTGTCCGCCGGCACGGGTGTGGAGCCCGATGCCATGGTCATCGCCGTGTCGGCGGCGTGTGACGCACGGTCGGCCATGGGGAGATGACGGACTGGACTGGAGGAGGCCAGAAGAGGTCCCCGTGAGCGGACGGCGTACGGGGAGATCCGCGGTAGAAAGCGGCGAACGGCGCTAGCAAGGCTAGCACGGGCGCCGTCAAAGGGGGAGGGGTGGTTCGGGTCCAGGGTGCCTGAAGAGGACGGGGAAGTAGGGGGGTTTGAGGAACCCTAAACCCTACAAAAATCCTAAGAAAACCCTTATCGAGGTTTAAGGCTAGGGTAGGGTACCGGTGACCTAATCAAGAAAGTGTAATAGCAAGCATAG